GTCGTTTTCATTTTTCACAGCCATACATAAATAATCGGTAGAAAAAGGATATAAAATAAAGGGTAAAATGTACGTTTAATATATAAATTATCAATTTTGATATGTTTAAGTATCTAAATATTTTTTTAAATCATATCTAACGTTTAATTTTTATTTTATTTTAGTACATCATTGTTAAAAAACTTAACGGATAGGCTGATGTGGCATAGCTTCGGTGGATAAACGATCAATATGAACGGTGAACTACGAGAGAATGACGAGTTGATCAACATAATTAAGTTTCAAGCCCATCAGACGGTGGACCATGAAGATCAGAAGATAAAGAAATCGAAGAGTCCATTGTTGAGTTGGAGAGATCGATACATTTTTCGATAAAATAGAGGTCATAATCTCGTTTAGGGGGTCAAAAAGATGCATGTTGGAAAGTTTAGGCTTCATTGGCCAACAGATGCGACTGTAAACGCAACGACTTACAAGTCCGTCCGTTAAGATTTTAACGGCGGGATACTAAAATAAAAAAAAAAATGTTAGATATGATTTTAAAAAAATTAAAAGTTTAGATATTAAAACAGACAAAATTTATAATTTATGTACTAAACTCATAGTTTACCCTAGAGTAATATAACGATTCGACTATAAAATGAAAATCTAGTATTATTCTATGAATTCCCTGCACATCAAAACAGATTTTTCCATTAGAAAGGAAAGTACTTAAACCCCATCATCAAGGAACAGGTTCGAAATGCAAGAGCTGCTACTCGAGAAAGGTTCGTTATTTTTTATTTCCCGCGCCGGTTATCTGTTTTTTCATTATAATTCTTGTTGAATTTCGTATGGGTTTATCCATTTCTTCATGTTTTTGAGTTTAAAGTTATTCTTTTTGGCTATTTGTTTCATTTTATAATCTGGGTTTTTTTGGTTTCAGAATTGATGAGGAAAAAATGTTAAATTTCCCCTGTTTTTTATTTGTTTTTAGGAGGTAGAATGGAAGAAGAGGTCACAACAGGGACAGAAAGTTCTAATTTTTCACTATTGAATTGGGTTTGCAAGGTCAAAAACTTGTGCTTGGAAGCATACAAAAGCAAGCCCATGTCGTATTGGATTCTCCTGTTTCTAAGTAGTTTGGGGATGCTCGTGGCATTTCCTGCTTCTAGTCTTTTATCTCGTGTCTACTTTGCTAATGGTGGAACCAGCAAATGGATCATTTCATGGGTAGCAGTGGTTGGATGGCCTATACCAGCTTTAATCTTGTTACCCACATACATCTTTTATAAAACCACCCCTACACCTTTCAACTTATATCTGTTTCTTTCCTATGTTTTTCTGGGTTTTCTAAGTGCCGCTGATAATCTCATGTATGCATATGCATATGCTTATCTCCCTGCATCAACAGCATCTCTATTGGCCTCATCATCACTAGCTTTCTCTGCTTTATTTGGTTTCTGGATTGTGAAGAACAAACTGAATGCTTCGGTGATAAATGCTATTGTGATCATAACAGCTGCGATGACGTTGATCGCATTGGATTCGGATTCCGATAGGTATCCGTATGTGACCAACAGCCAATACATTTGGGGTTTTGTATGGGATATCTTAGGTTCAGCACTCCATGGGCTTATATTCGCTCTTTCGGAGTGGGTTTTCATAAAGTTCTTAGGCAGAAGGTCTTTTCATGTTGTTTTAGAGCAACAAGTCGTGGTTTCTTTCTTTGCATTTGTGTTTACAACCATCGGGGTCATAGTTAACAATGATTTTCGAGGAATGGCAGCCGAGGCCAAGACTTTCAAGGGCGGCCAAACCGCATACATTATGGTTATCATTTGGGGTGTTATTACTTTCCAATTGGGTGTATTGGGAGCCACTGCTATACTGTTCCTGGCTTCCACTGTCATGGCCGGGGTGCTTAATGCAGTAAGGGTACCGGTCACAGCTATTGCTGCAGTAATTTTCATGAATGACCCAATGAGTGGCTTCAAGATCCTGTCTTTGGTCATGACATTCTGGGGATTTGCTTCCTACATTTATGGCACTTCCACTGGGAGTAAGTTGTCCTAGTCATATGTTCCTGTTGAGAACTATGTTGCCTCGTACTCGTATCCGACATTTAAAGGGATCCATCAAACCGATGCCCCGTTTGGATTCAAATGGAGTAAAAAACGTTATGCCACGTGTATTAGATTGCTATGGTAAGACGTATTCGGACTTGAATGTGTGTATTAGATGTGGATACGTATTTAAAACAGGTGATATTCATTTCTTAGAAGTTTTTCCATGTATATGAAGGATCTTTGGCGTTGAAGAGTTATAATCATATATTCTTATCTGAATATGTCTCCACATGTATATATATTGAAAATTCTGCTTCAACACATGAATGGATAGTAAACTTCTTTGTCAATGTACAAAGCTATAAGCCTAAAACAGTATATATATATATATATATATATATATATATATATATATATTCAGTTTCTAGGACCAATGTCTAATGACATTGAAATAGTTAAAAGATAACCATCAATCATCAATGGAATCAAAACGTAAGGTCAAGGACGGATCTTGATGACGATATAGCCATTATTGTGGATAGTACCAGCTTGCTAAGGGTATGTCTTTGAAACTCCAGCCTTCACCTTTGCCTCGAACTGGTTGGCCCTCGACTAGCACCTCTCCCGTGTTTCCCGTTTGTCTCTCATTGTTTCACCTAGAGAAAGATTTGCAGAGCTCACTCGACTAGCACCTCTCCCGTGTTTCCTGTTTTTTTCCCAACTATGGTTAAACATAAGAGGGAATCATCCTATTTTTCCATTTTTAGCAGAAGAGGAATCACCATGTCTGTGGATTGTTAGAAAGTGGCAAAAACAAATTGAGGAACAACTATTGGGTTAACTGCTGCTATAAATGATTTTTTTTAGTAAGTCTTGCCTATGGAAGCCCAAGATAATACATTAAAAAACATTGCCAGTAGTTTTCAAGGGGCAGGCAAACTTTGAAAAGTCTCAGATTTTTGGTCCTGGGCCACTTGTTGAGATTCAGTGCTGTATTTTTCAAGATTCAAGACAAACTAAGAGATATGTGGCACTTGAAAATGGAGCCAACAGAGAAATTGTGCCCTCATCTGACCTTATTGAACTATAGCCTGTCTATGAAAGCCAACATTCATTTGTCTTTAATCCCCTCTGCTCCTCCCTGGACCACTTCTTTAAATGCCAGCACCATTGTAGTTTGCATGACTCATGAATTTGCCAAATGTCAAAGGGTAGCTGAAAATACCTACTTTTACCATTTCAGAACTTCACCTTCTTCTAAAAGGTGAATGACAATTAATGCTTGAAAATCTATCAGACTCTGATGGAATTGTGTGAAGAGCTTTCTAAGTGATGTTTTTAGAAGGCAAGTTCTGGTAAAAAGCACAACCCTTTAAGCACCCATGGTTTTATTGACCATGATGAACTTCTTTAACAATCATTTCACTCACCAAGTGATGCATAAAGTTTGGAATCAGAAAAGTGTATCCTACATGTCTAAATGATCCTGTACCAATGTCTTATGATGCTGAAAGTCCAAGTGGGCATGGAAATTCTAGCATGCAATCCGAGACAGCTTTTTCAACACCATCCCATGATGCTAAAGCGTATATATAGACAAAACGTTGAAGGATACTTTCCCAGACATGGCAAAACTGCATTGACAGAAACTTGCTACGTCCACTTTAGGTGAATACTTGATGAATTTATAACAACGCAGCCTTTCCTGAATTATATTGCCTTCTCTTTTTCAAGCACTTCATCATTGATTAAAAAAAATCGAATCAAATTGATCGGTTGAACTGAGAACTAATAGACCATATGACCAAATATATTGTATAGACACTGATATTGTTACGATAATCGAGAAGAAAACGACGATTGAAATAAACAAAATCGAAAATAAGACACTACAATTTACGTGAAAAATCTTAAAAATAAAAATCACAAAGGAAAGAAATTCACTACAATGTCAAAATTACAAGAGTTTGCTGCTACAAGGTCACACGAATTCTAAAGTTTCTTCTTACAATAATCTTAATCACTATTATCAATTTATCATGTTAATTAATTGATGAGAAAGAAATCTAATATTACAAATAGTTTTTTTTAATATGCATCCCTACTTTCAATTAATATCTAATAGACAAAGTATAATCATGTACGAACTGGGTGTGAGACAAGATCCATATCACAAGACTAAAATTTAGGCCGCAAAATCTAATAGACATATATGATCAACTATTTAATTAGCTAGTATAAAACGATATATTAGGTTGGAAAAAAAAATGATATGACCTTCGACTCAATTCTTTTATAATATATATTAGTTGCAGTCTTCCTTTTAGGTTAATAAGAGAGACATAGAGTAGTGTTTTCCTTGTCCATTCTCCACAGGCTCACAAAAAGATGCTTGACAAACCAACCCAATTAAGCTAGTCCTATATTGAAAATCATTTACAAATATGACAATATCTACAATGGCAGAAAACTCTCAATTTGATATTTTAAATCATAGTCAGTTTCAAGGTTTAATTGTCTTAATAAATTTTTAGGAACCTCTCTCCATCACATTTACCTTTATTCTGCAATGTATACCAAGCCTTGAGATTTGAGCAATAAATTTCTCTAATTAAGGAAGTATTATGATATGGACCCCATTTCTTTAATTTTGACAAGCACAACTCACATTTTTGTTTTTCTTCATGTTGCAGAAGTATTTCTCTTCCGTTAATGGTGAATCAGTGGTCCGTGAGTAACTATTATTACTCTTGCGGTGCTCCCAACCACCTCCATATCCACCAGCAGACTAGAATAACTGCGACGGGGTTTGCTTTTCATACAAGCATATGCAAAACTGTCCATAGGGTGATCAAAGTCGGCAATTGCCTGAGCAAAGTATTTGATAAACAGTTTCAGATTGATTTAGTTGTTGTATGAAGATTAAAGGCAAAATGAGTGTTGATTTTCTATAAAAAAAAAATCTATCTGCAACTTTCAAGGATCAAACTTGTGTATTATAACTATGATGACAAAGATTATCAGATTCCAAGACATAATTTAACAGTTACTCTACATCCTCTCCCGTGGTAGGGAAAAAATGCTAGTCATTGTTTTTCAATTTTTCATCGAGGAGTTCTTGGTTCAATATCCTTGAGAAGGCCAACAACTTGTTGCATGTTTGGTCGCTTGATGGGAATACAGGCTGTGCAGAGATATCCGATCTTGAGGGCCTCTTCCATTTGGTGACCTGGTCCGGTATCACGAATTTTAGGATCAATAGCCTTTGATCCTCGACTCTTTCTCACCAATCCTCTAACCCAACTCACTAAATTTGTTTCTTGCTCCTCCGGATAATCATCTCCGATTGGCTTTTTCCCTGTGATTAGTTCGAACAAAACAACACCGAAGCAATATACATCGGATTTCGGGGTGGAGGCTTGATATTCAGGCTGAGAGAATTCTGGTGGTACATATCCAGGTGACCCTCGGGCAATTTCATCCTCTAGTTCGGTTCCAAAAATCTTGGCCAATCCAAAATCAGATAATCTAGGCTCCAAGTTTAAGTCGAGATAAACGCTACTAGCTTTGACATCTCTATGGATTATTGGTGGTGAGCAGCCATGATGGAGAAAAGCCAGTGCTCGTGCAGTGCCAAGGGCTATTTTGTGTCTAAATGACCAGGTTGTTAATAACCCTTCAGAGCCAACATTTTGTATCCCATTGTTGTCTTCCTCCCATGTCTCTTGGCTCCAGTCTTCTATTGCCTGAACACCGAGCGGCAAGTCATGTAACAAATTCTGCAAGTTTCCATTCTCCATGTAATCATAAATAGCAATCCTTTGATCCCCGGCCAAGCAATATCCGGTTAATGGAACAAGATTGGGATGCTTGATTCGACCGAGATACTCGAGCTCCCTTGCAACTTCTTGGTCTGTCAATGTTGATTCATGAACCAAAACTTTAACAGCGACATGAATTCCACCAGGCAGAAATCCTCGATAAACAGGCCCGAATTTTCCTTCTGCTAGTAAAGTGCCTCGATCGAAATTTGAAGTTGCAGACAAGAGGTCTGCAAATGTGATGTTCAGTAGTGGCTTCTCAAATATCACAACCGACACCAACGTTGCTTGTTTAACATCAGCCACCCAGGTTGTGGAGTCGGTTTGGAAGGAAAACGGACCTGAAATATGTTGCTCCTCTTTATATGAGGGCTGCTTAACAACCCATGTACTGGATTTCCGTCTACAACCAAAGGCTAGGATTAGCAACACAGCAAGTAAGCAGACCAGGGAAAGGGTTAAAGCTAAGGCAAGCTTTAAACCCTTTTGACCACCGGCTCTTCTTTTGAAAAGGACAGGATTTGCAGCAATGGGACAGCTGTTCGATGAGCCATAAAAGACTGTGTTGAAGGTCTCGAAGGAGAATCTCGAAGCACAAAGGGTTAAGTTGTTGTAAGAGAAGTTGTATCTCTTCATCGATGGGAGTTTCTCCAAGAGAGAGAAGGGAAATTCTCCTGTCAAATTGTTGCGTGAAACATCAAGAACTTTGAGGCTTTTGTTAGCCAATGATGGAATTTGGCCTGTAAGATGGTTGGATGAAACATCAAGTGTGTGTAAATGACTCAGTTGTGAAATTTCACCAGGAATGTGACCAATGAGGCCGGTTTTAGACAAATTGAGATACTCTAACCCCAAAAGCATTTCAATTCTAGGGAATTTCTGCATACCGAATCTATTATTCGCTAGATTAAGATGTCTAAGGCTCTGAGCATGACTCAAATTTTGTAAAATTTCTCCACTAAGCTGGTTCTCAGACAAGTCTAGATAAACCAAATGAGACCACTTGTAAGTAAAGTTGAATTGTACCTGAGAAAAATGACCTTGAAACTGGTTCCTGCTCAGGTCAATCACCTGCAGCTGCCCTTGAAAAAAACCCATAATTGAACCCTTAAACAAGTTCCTGGAAATGTTAAGGCTAGTAAGAGAGATCATTTCTTTAAAATCGGTGTCCCGGCCAAGAATCTCGTTGCCGGCTAGGTTTAAAGTTTTGAGCTTAGGAAGTGCTGCACCAAAACCATCTGGCAAGGAACCATTTAACCTATTTGAGGATAGGTCAAGTGAAACCATAGACTTACAATTCAGAATTCCTTTTGGAATGCTCCATTGAAATCCATTTCCAGCAAGGTTAAGAACCTGCAAACTAAGTAAGGAACTTATAGCTGCTGGGATTTCCCCAGAGAAATTATTTCCAGAAAGATCAATGACTTCAAGCAGACCAAAGTTGCCAAAATTATTCGGAAGAGACCCTGAAATCTGATTAGAAGAGAGATTAAGACTCTGCAGTGTCCCTAAACCCCATAAATCTGAAGGCAAAGCAGTGATTTTGTTAATGCTAAGATCCAAAGACTGAAGCTTTGTTAGCTTTCCAATGGTGGTATCAGGTATCAAACCAGACAGGCCAAAACTTGAAACTTTTAACCCAATGACACTCTCCTTCTTGGCATCACAATGCACCCCTTCCCATGAACAAACAGAACCAGAGAAATTGTAAGACAAGGAAGAGTTCAACCTCATTTTCTTCAAGAAGTCAGAGACATAATACCCATCTGTATTGGGTAATTGACAAGTGAAAAGCTTCAAGAAGAGTGATAGAATTAGTAAATAACCAAAGAAACCAAAAGCCATTTGAGCCCAAAAAAAGGTCAAAACTTTAAAGAAGAAAATCAAAAGCCACCACTTTTTAACCAACTCCAAAACTTTTATCCTTAAACTTCAAACTACCAGCACCATATTATAATTGGTTTTCAAATTCTGCAAAACCCCATTAAAGCCAATACCGCCTACAATAACAACCACTGAGCAGACTCGGTTGAGGCTCTCGTGATAACCAGAAAAACTCAATAAATAGTCTGTAAGAAACAAACAAAATAAACAGTGAGAAAAGATTTTTTTTAGCATCATGAAGCATTGGATGTCCGAGGAGCAGAATTGGAGCTTACCTTGTGAGACTTTGCAAGCATATCAAAGCCAACAAAACAAAAAACAACCAAAGTAAAGTAGTTGTGTCTCCGTGTGGAGCATCAATAGCTCCATTCCTTTTCAAAGCACAGTTGTTTTATAAAAGTACAAAACTTTTTTGTAAGTTTTTTTTTTTTTTTACAAACAATATTACTGCTCAAAGAACAATTCAAAAACAGGTTTTTGCTTTTTAATGAGAGAGAAGCAAACCAGCAAAGACAAGGTGATATTGGGAAGGAGGGAAATGGGAGTTCGGGAAATATCAGAAGTTGAGCTTCATTAATGAAGGGATGATTTAATACAAAGATATTAAAGGAAACATAATTTAGGTTGCTGAATTTATCAGGGATTGTTGGTTGTGGGCATTCATTATGGTTCTTCATTGAATTATGTATCTTTGGGTAAACTACAATAGAGGTCACCTAATTTTTAAAATACTTGTATTTTGATCATTAAACTTTTAAAATTACATTAAACTCACAACTTAATCTAAATACGATTTGTAATATTATTATTTTCATAAAATAAATGTAATTAATCAATCATAGTTAAATTTAAATGTTATTTATTCATTTTATAATATGTATTTTAATTATCCCATCTTGTATGAATTTGAATCCTGATATTTTCTTTGAAAATGTTACACCTCTCCACTTAATAAAAATATATTTTAATCAATGTTATCAATATATTCTTATAAATAATATTTAGATTATTTCAATCATAATTTAATCTAAATATTTTTATCAATATCGTACCTTTTTTGTCTCACTAAAATCGTCTCTTGCTAGTTTTTTAATCGTTTTTCTTTAAAATTTTAATTTTTTATTATTTAAAATTTATCATTAATAAAAAATTAATTATAAAAATTAATTTAAAAATATTCAATTATATATTTATAAATAAACTTAATTTTAAAAAATAATTATTTAAAATACTTATGATCAAAATTCAAAAAATTACCTATTAAAAAATCAATAAAAAACAATTTTAATAGTACATAAATAAAAATAAATTCTTAACCTAATACATTAGTTAGGTGCTGGAACCAAATGCTAAGGTTCCATGTTTCATTTCATCAAATGTAGTTTAAATGAATTAAAAATTTAGCGACCATTAGTATAATTTATCATTTTCTTTTTTTAACGCTAATTGACGAGAACCTTTGGGTGAGGCTACTCCTACTTTTAGCGTTTGAAAGGAAAAAAGGGGCTGCTTTTTGCTTTTCCTTTTGTTTTTCAAAAGGAAAAATGGAAATATGAATGACTTTTCAAATTTACAAATGTAACCAAAAGGTTTTATTTGTAAATTGTCCTCTGAATTACAGTTATTCTCATATTGACCCTTCAAGGGTTTTTTCTCTCCAAAAGTGGTATATAAAACTATCATTTTATTTTCATTTTACCCTAAAATATATTATATTCAACAATAATATGTCAAATATCATATTCTTATTAGTTGATATTAATTTTTGAATTTAAATATTACTTTTAACAAAAAAATTTAAGAGTCAAGTTAGGTACAACACCACGAGCTATGCAGAGGACTTGCCCCAAAATGTAAATTGTCCGGTAAAAATTATAAAAATTTAAATAAAAACAGTTGTAAAATTACTTATTGGTCCCTCAAGAATGGTAATTTATGTTTTAGTCCCTTTAAATTGGTCTTCATCCCTATACTAATAATAGAATTTTACCTAATTTTTGTTTTCTTGGCAATGTTTCCTTGAAAAATCTACCCTTTTTACATATCTCTATAAAGGAGTCTTAATGAATTGCCATACTTGTCCCATCATTACAAATTAAGAACCCTAAACAATGTGCCCAAATCTTTATGAAAGATTAATTGAATCCACCAAATTGTTCTTTCTCCTAATCATTTCTCTGATATGGCTTCCATCATTGAGTTGATTTTGGCAACTTAGTACCCTAATTTCTTTGAACTTGTTTCTTCATTCTTTAGTGCTTGTTTTTGCGGATGATATTATGATCATAATAGCATCGTTTTTTATATTGCTAATAGAAATTAAAAGTTCAAAAAATTGTTTTTATATATTTTTTTGACATAAATACATGATTCTTGTTAATGAGATGCAAAATTTTTTAGTTGTTTATATATAGATCTGTATGCTATTGTCAAGTTTAGGATAGTTGTTGAAACATTTTGATATTTCGATATAACAAATTAAGTTAAATGGATTTTAAGATTTTCCAAATGATTTTCTAAGTATATTCGATATAACTATTCGAATATCAAAACATTACTCCAAATATTTCAAAAATCATTTTTAATCCTTACTTAAGTGTAAAATTAAGTTTTAATCATAAAACAATTTCAAAATAATCTTACAAAGTATTTCGAACCAATTCAAAGCCAAAAATTACAGATTGCTCAGAGGGAACCGATTCCCCCCATAGGAGGAACCGATTCCCCCTAAATGGTTTTGGCCCCGAGATTTCCAGAATGCTCGGAGGGAACCGATTCCCCCATAGGAGGAACCGATTCCCCCCTAAACAGTTTTGCTCCGAGAATTCCAGTATGCTCGGAGGGAACCGATCCCCCCCCAAGGGGGTACCGATTCCCCCCTTGTACAACGGTCGAAATATTTGAATTTTACACTTAGGAACCGATTCCCTTCAAGGGGGAACCGATTCCCCCCACGCTCCAAGCTGTTTTATTAAATGTTTTCACACTAAAACGGCTATAATATCTTCTCTAATCATCCCCAACGTTCAGAAGTGATCCAAGGTTTATTTAAGCAAGCTTAGAAGCCATTGATCAAAAACAAGAAACATCAAGCAACTAGAATCAAGAGAGAATCAAAGAGAAAGCATCAAACCTCAAGTTTGAGTATTTCAAGCCTATTTTCATTCAATATTCATTTTGCTTTCAAGAACACTTTTTTGTGCTCAATTGTATTCATCTTTGAGTGTTCTTTTCTTTGTTCTAGAATTGTGCAAACATCTTACCTTGTGAGGTTTTCTTGTAAGTTTGCAAATTTGTAATCTTCTCTTTGGGAAAAAGAGTGTTCTCAAGAGTTGGGGTATACTCTTGAGGGAATTGTAAGGTTATCTCTTTGGCCTCAAAAGAAAGAACAAATTAGTGAATTTGTTGGAAAATCCTTAGTGTGGATAGCTAAGGTAGTGGACGTAGACTTTATTTGAGAAAGTCGAACCACTTTAAATCGCTGTGCAATTACTTTCAATTTTCTACAAAAGCTTCCACAAAAATTTTAATTGCCAATTCACCCCCCTCTTGGCCGATTTCGTCAATCGATTAACTCAACAATTGGTATCAGAGCCTAACTCATTTGAAGGTTTTATCTCCTCTTGAGTCGATTCGGGAAGAGTTATATCGATTATTAAAGTCATCAATGGCCTCCGCTTCAAACTTCGACTCCGGTCTCGATTCGATGCCCGTCAACAAGCCTTCTTTCTTCAATGGAGCTAACTATGCCTATTGGAAGAATAGAATGATGTACTTCATTCAAGCAAGTGACATGGGAGCATGGAATACTGTAGAAGAAGGATACATCAAACCTCTCACTCATCCAAGGTTGTGGAGTGAATGAGAGACAAGAATGTTCCAGCTCAACTCCAAAGCCATCCATATTATTTTTTGTGCTCTTGGACCAGATGAATACGGAAGAGTTTCATCGTGTACAACCGCCAAAGAAATATGGGACAAACTTCAAGTCACACATGAAGGTACAGATGAGGTAAAGAAATCAAAAATTAGTATTCTAACGCATAGCTATGAAAATTTCATGATGAAACCAAATGAAGACATCAAAGCTATGACGGATAGATTTTCAACGATTGTCAATGGTCTCAAATCATATGGAGAGATCATCTCAAATGAAAAGCTTGTGAGGAAGTTAGTCTACTCCCTCCCAAAATCATGGCAATCAAAGAAGACGGTAATCATCGAGTCTAAGGACCTATCGTCCTTAACTCTTGAAGAACTTATCGGTTCACTCCTCACTCATGAGATGATGCTCGAAGATGAGGTGGACCTTGATAAAGTTGAAGAGACACCAAAGGAAAAGGAGAAGAAGAAAAATATTGGAGTTGCTCTCAAATCCACAAAAGATGAGAGTGATTCTAATAATGATGATGATGACGAGGAAATGACATTGTTTGCCAAACGGTTCAGAAAAATGATGAGACCTTACCAAGGAAGAAAATTCAAACGAAACGAAGGCCTCAAAAATGAACCAAAAGAGAAGGACCCAATCATTTGCTATGAATGCAAAAAACCGGGGCATGTCAAATATGATTGCCCACAATTGAAGAAAAAGGGTCAATCAAAGAATAAGCACAAGGCTCATGTGGCTACATGGAGCGATGAAGAAGGTTCCGATGAAGAGGAACAAGAAGTAGCAAACTTGTGCTTGATGGCATTCGGGGAAGATTCTAAGGTAACCTCTAACTCATCCGATTTTGATGATTTATCTTATGATGAGTTATTTGAGGAATACAATGGGTTGGCTTCGGATTATGAGAAATTGTTTTTAAAATATAAAAATGATGTTTCAAAATTGAAAAATGAAAACAAACTCATATCCAAAACCAACAACGATCTTGAAAGTAAAATCAAAGATTTGCAAATCAAACTAGAAGAGTTTGAAAAGAAAAATTTAGATTTGCAAAATTTACTTTCAAAGATCAATGATGATCATCAAAAGAAAATTGATGATCTTAAAACTTCTTTTGATAAAGTTGGAACAAAACATTTTGAAAAAGGTGGAAATTCAAAATCCAACTTTGTTAGACAAAGTTTTAGAAACTACAATCATAGAGGTCCCCAAAGAACCTCTAATGGAAAAATCATTAGAAGTATGTGGGTTCCTAAAGAACTCATTACTACTAAAGATAAAAATATCCTACACAAATGGATACCTAAGGGGACTAGGATTTTGGAAACTAATGAATATGGACCCAAAAGAATTTGGGTACCAAAAATCAAAAATTAATCTATGTTTGTAGGGAAAGGAGCATTGCTACAAGGCACGGGAAACAAATTCAAATTCATGGTACCTTGATAGTGGATGCTCAAGACATATGACCGGAGA